GCGAGCTCACTGGTTTGGGCTCTGGTTCCATGGTGTTACCTGCTGCTAATTGTGAGCAGGAACTAAGAAGAACTTAGGATCTCCAGAGGTGCTTCGAGGGTTCTATCAAGCAAGAAAGGCTGGAACTGCCCTTGTCGTTTCCTTTATAGACTGGGACTACGTAAGATTCATTTGGAAAAAGAACTCCACAGCTAAAATTGTTTTCAAATCTGTTTTCGAGGATACTTTAATTTTCTTCCTATCTCAGCTCCTTCTCCTTTTGAAAACAGACTGCCAAAGCCAGGCCATGCCATGTGTTGGCTTGGAATAGAGTAGCTGACCTTTTAATTGCTGTTTTTTAGTCCCTTGGATATTCTCTTCCATGCATCTTTTTTTTGTGAGAAGCTGGCAGCTCCTTCCCAGAGTGCTGGCAGACTCTGAAGAATGAGCTGGGCTCAGTAGATAAAGGATCCTGCCTCAGCTTCATAAAGAGTATATCTTCTGCAGTATTCTTGGAATGAAAGCTATAGCCTGGCACAGGTTCCATTTGATAAACAGCTTCCATCTGTAGCCCTCTTCCCAGATGTCTTAAGGCCAAAGTGATCTCTGAAAAATTAGCACCCACATTCCCCGTGGGTTCTTTTTCTTGAGCATCTGCATTGATGGGGCCCTGGGTCACTGGCTATAGAGCACTCATTTCTTGTTCGGTTACTGAGGAACATAAACACCCAAACAGCAATTGAATTGAGTGGTCAGTGTGCACCTACTCTGTGCTTTCATGAGCCACCCCTAGCTGTTTTGACGTGGCAGAACATCCAGAGAGACTGCCTGCCTGGTGGAGACGTCTGGGTTTTATCTTCTCTGACGTAGCCGTTCTTCTATTTGGGCTTCTTTTATTCCTAAAACTTATTAATGTTCTTCCTCACTCAGATTGATGCCAAGAAGGAACAGCTAGCAGATGCCCGGAAAGACCTAAAAAGTGCTAAAGCTGATGCCAAGGTCATGAAGGATGCAAAGACCAAGAAGTATGTGCCTGGTGGTGTGCAGAGCTGGGGGTTGGCTGAGAAAAAGAAGCATGTGTAATCCCAGCAAGGTGCCCTGGGGCCTCAGCTTCTCTAGGGTTTCTGAGTGATGTCTTTTAGAAATTTCTGAACTTGGGGCTTTTGTGCTTTTACTGCCCCCTGAATGGCAGGGTGGGGTTGCAGTGTTGTCTGGAGGCCAGGCCTGGTTCTTGATGACATCCATTCTCCCAGGGTTGTAGAGTCAAAGAAGAAGGCTGTGCAGAGACTGGAGGAACAGTTGATGAAACTCGAAGTTCAGGCCACAGACCGAGAGGAGAATAAACAAATTGCTTTGGGAACCTCCAAACTCAATTATCTGGACCCAAGGATCTCAGTGGCTTGGTAAGCACTGAGCCCTTTGCTGCTGGCTTGAGAAGGGTGAGGGGGGTTGTGAGAGCACTGTCATCCTTCACATGCTGTTCCTGCACTGCACACTTTGAGTCTTCTGTGTAATCTCTGCCAGAATCCTGCCGTGCCTGCTACAGATGCATTGGAACATCCTGGGTGGTCCTAAATGGTCAGTGCTGTTGCACCGCCTTTGAGTGTGTTTATGTCTTTTTAAAAAGGCGGGTGCTGTCTCCCCATCCCTTATGGAACTTTAGTACAAGAATGGAAACTCTTAACCCTATTGAAGGAAAATATAAAAGAGCCCCTCACATTAATAAAACTTTTCAATAAAATTTTTTTTTTACAAGTGAAGGAAGAAAGGTAGGAACAAAGAGAAAACAAATGAAAACACAGATCTGAGCAACCTACACAAATAGAGGGACCTTATAGCAAAAGCAGATAAATTCTCTATTGTTTGTGCACACACAGTCATAAGTGGCATTTTTGAAGATGCTTATTAGTTACCTTGAGTTGCTAAGTTCTGGGCCCAGGTGGAGGAATCATGCCTTCTGACACCTGTCCCTCTAGGCTAAGGTTTCCCCCGACTCTTGTACCCTTTCTACTCTTTTTGCCCTGTTTGGTGCTAGAAGACTGATTAGCTTGAAAGGAACTATGGACTCTGGAGCCAAACTGCTTGAGTTCATTTTCCAGCTCCATGTTCACTAGCTGCATGAGAACATAAGCAGATTACTTAATTGCTCTGCCTTAGTTTTTTCGTCTGTATCTTTTTTGTTTGTATGTCTGCAGTAGCATTACTTTAGAGGTCATTGTTAAAAGATTGAGTTGAGCACATGAGTAAATTCTCGTTCTCATCAAACGGATGTGAAGGTGAAGGCAGTGCATCTAAGCCCTGGCCTGGGCCACTGCTCCCCAAGACATACTAATCCCCCTTTTTTCTCTCTTGTTTGCAGGTGCAAGAAGTGGGGGGTCCCCATTGAGAAAATTTACAACAAAACCCAGCGAGAGAAGTTTGCCTGGGCCATCGACATGGCTGACGAGGACTATGAGTTCTAGCCAGTCTGGAGGGGCAGGGTTCAGTGAAAAGGAACAGTGTGGTTTGGGGAAGATGGATAAACTGTGAGCCTCGCTTACCCTCACACCTGAGGGGGAGAGGCGGCAAGTCTTAACAAACCAACATCTTTGAGAAAAGATAAACCTGAAGATATTATAAGGGAGAGCTGAGCCAGTTGTCCTATGGACAACTTATTTAAAAATATTTCAGATATCAAAATTCTAGCTGTATGATTTGTTTTGAATTTTCTTTTTATTTTCAAGAGGGCAAGTGGATGGGAATTTGTCATTGTTCTGTCAGGCAAATTCACTATTTCACTGAAGCATTTGGATTCTCTTAGCTACTGTATACGAAGTCCGATTATATTGGTGCGTTTTTACAGTTAGGGTTTTGCAATAACTTCTATATTTTAATAGAAATGAATTCCTAAACTCCCTCCCCTTTCTCCCATTTCAGGAATTTAAAATTAAGTAGAACAAAAACCCAGCGCACCTGTTAGAGTCGTCACTATCTATTGTCATGGGAATCAATTTTCATTAAACTTGAAGCAGTTGTGACATCGGCAGTGTTTTGGTTCAGACACCTGTTCACAGAAAAGCATGATGGGAAAATATTTCCTGACTTGAGTGTTCCTTTTGAAATGTGAATTTTTATTTCTTTTTAATTATTTTAAAATATTTAAACCTTTTTCTTGATCTTAAAGATCGTGTAGATTGGGGTTGGGGAGGGACGAGGGGTGAGTGAGTCTAAGGATAATGAAATAATCAGTGACTGAAACCATTTTCCCATCATCCTTTGTTCTGAGCATTCTCTGTACCCTTTCAGATATCCATCTTTTTCATTTTAAACCCCAGTCTTTCACTTGAAAGATTTTATTGTATAAAAGTTCCACAGGTCAATAAATTTAGAGGAAAATGAGTATTTGGTCCAAAAAGAAAAATAATCAAGATTTTAGGGCTTTTATTTTTTTCTTTTGTAATTGTGTAAAAAATGGGGAAAAAACATAAAAAGCAGAATTTTAATGTGAAAACATTTTTTGCTATAATCATTAGTTTTAGAGGCATTGTTAGTTTAGCGTGTGTGCAGAGTCCATTTCCCACATCTTTCCTCAAGTATCTTCTATTTTTATCATGAATTCCCTTTTAATCAACTGTAGGTTATTTAAAATAAATTCCTACAACCTAACAGAAATTTAGTGTCTGCCTCTTTGTTACCCAGGGCCCCAGGCCAGATTGGGGCTCTGGGGCTCGGACTTGGTGTGGGATGTGATCTGGCTGCTCAGGTCAAGGGTGGCTCCCTGCCCCAGACCCCAGATGGGGCGTGGAAGGGCCTGCATCTGTCCTGCTGCCATGGGTGTGGTTCAGAGGGGATCCAAAGTCCACATCCTTAGACAAAGGCAGGCCCAGGAAGTGAGGGAGTGTGCAGAAAATCTACAAGAACAGATGGGGGTGCAAGAACTATATTGGAAGCCTAGTACGGGTGATATTTATAAGCAAGATCAAGCAAGTGTATTTAAGAGGCAGATTTTGGGGGCATTTTCCATGTGTGCTGGCCAGAAGCAGTAGGGGCTTCTTTGCGTTTGCTTATGTGGCTAAACTTGTCAGGACGGCAGGAATTAAGGATTCTAAGCCAGTTAGAACACTGGATCCCAGAAGCCCTCTCCCTTTGCTGGGTTGATGGAAAGAGGAAGTGGTCTGTGATTACTTCCCAGTGCTCTGGTACCCAGGCTGGTCAGAATCCCTACAAAAATTGTTCATTTCCTCATCTAGGTTACGGCTAAGTCTGGAATTCAGGGTAAAGAGTCTCCTGGTCAAAGGAAGCAGAAAGGCCAGAGTGGTAAGAATTGGTCACTTAGCCCTAGGCCTTCTAGCTTGTTAGCATGTGCAGGTATATTCTGGAAGGAGAGCCATTTCCTTGATGGTCTCTGAACTCCCTGGGTCTGCGGACTGGGCTGGTGGTGGGCCCACTGCAACAATCCTGGGAGGTCCTTCTTGGCAGCCTACGTTTCATTGGCCAGTGAAAGAGGTAGCATTCACCTCAAGGAGCAAAGACAGTCACCACTGCAGCCAGGTATTTTTGAATTCTGTGATGTTAGACTACTGAGTATAAAGAATAGCAACAGAGAAGCCATTCCAGTGCCCAGTCAATATGCTTTATGGTCAGTGGGTAGGTGATGAGAAAGTGGACCTCAGGTTTGGGAATACAGCAGGACCTGTCACAACTAGTGGAGAAACCTTAGTCTACAACTAGAAATCTGGAATAGGAAGCTTTGCAAGCAGAAGGTTTTATTAATGAGCAGGAACTTGTTGCCTACCTTTTCCAGCAAGGACCTTCCTACAAGTCTGAAGGCAGGTGCTGGGCAACCAGATGTTGGTCAAGAACGACAAGTGCATCCTGGATGGTCGCAGCAGGCCTCAGAGAGGAAGCCAGAGAATGGGAAGCTGACCTGAACATTGAGCATGAAAGAAGAGGCTGGACAGGCAGGTGAGAGCCAGATGTGAAGGGCCCTAAAGGATGCTGAAGCATGGAGTCAAGAGACCCACCTCCTTGCCTTTTCTTCTAGTAGACTGGTTCCCTCCTCCCACTTCCAGCCATGTCCAAGAGCAGAAGCCAGCTGTGTAGGATCTGAACAACTCTCTCCTGTCGGGCCTTTTCTGTGATGTTTGAGTCCAGCTGTGGGCAAAGGGGAACAGCTTCCATATGCTACCCATGCCCGACATCTGGGTGCTTCATTGGCTCCTCTTTCCCCCAAACTCCCCACATCTTGTCAGCAGGTCCTGTCCATCCCCGCCCCCCCGGGCTCAGATCCACCTCAGGCCTTTGCCACATTTAAAACATGAAAAAGTAATCTCACAACTCCCAGTACTTTCCAGCCACCACCCTCTCCCTCCCCATTTCACAAACAAGCCCCCGGAATGAATCATTGACACCACCTGGTCATTCCCCCACCCACTACAACTAGCTTCTGTCCCATTTTGCTCCTAATTCCCCCTCTCCATTTTGACCACATTCACCAATGAATGAGCGACCGACCAAACCAATAAATGTCTCTGCGTTCTGCATCCTACTCAAGGTCATGTGGCACTGGATACTTGACCACTCTTTTTGTCTGACAGCTCTATTGAAGTATATTTTACATATCATGAAATCCACTCATTTTAAGTGAATGATAATTTTAGTAACTACTGAGTAGTTCAGCCATCACTGTAAATCAGTTTTAGAACATCATCTGCCTAGTAAGATCCCTCATGCCCACTTATAGTTAATCCCCATGCCCACTTCCCGCCTTCACTAATCTATTTTACAAATCGTCCTTTCTGGACATCTCACATGAATGGACTCATACGATATGTGACCACTCCCTTGAAGCACTTCTCTCTGGCTTCCCGATGCCACCTTCTGGTTTTATTCCTATCCCTTTCAGGCTGTTGCTTCTCAGTTACCTCCTCTCTCAGGTCCTTAACTGCCGTGGTTCTCTTCTCACTCGACCTGATTTCATTTGTACCTGAATGTGAGGACTCCTATATCTCTATCTCCAGCCTAGACCCCTTTCCTGAGCTCCAGACACACATTGCCAACTACATCCCTGCGGGGAACGTCCACAGGCTACTCAGTGTCAAATCTCTGGAGCTGAGCTCATTATCTACTACTATAAACCCACTGGGCTGAGTTCTCAGTGAAAAGTACCACCGTCCACTCTGTCCCTCAACTGGAACCTGGGTCACCATCACCCTTCATTCCTTTCACTCCCGCATCCAGTAACTTACTGGCTTTGAAATCACCTGAATACCACATACACTAAATATAGATATTTCCCCATAGAAAACTTAAACTAATTTTTTTATTCTGAGAAGAATTTACTTATATTTAGGTTCTTACAAAATTCCTCATACAATGGGATGCTCTCTCAACTTGTTTTGAACCAAAAAGCACTTTTTGGAGAAAACACATTACCCTGAAATGACCTCAGTCGAGCCAGTTTTGGATGATTATAAGTAGTCCCCTGACAAAATCAGCAAACAAGGAGGCAAAGAAATTTACCACAGACTCAGTAATTATGTCTCACAATCCCAAGTATTACATATAAACAAGCCTATTAATGATCACTTAAAATAACAATATGGTGTTGATTTTTTTTTTAGGTTTGATGATGGTACTATAGTTACATATATATTTTTTAAAAGACGTTTAGAAAAACATATTTATGGATAACATAGAGTTAAAATTTATGCCAAATAACATGGAAGGGGTCACTAGGTAACCTGACCCACTGAATACTAATACATATATCTATGAGAGAATTTAAAAGAAACGTATTTTAATGTTATACAAAAAGGTATTCATGCTTCAGTTATAATTTTCAGTGATAGCATTACATACTGAGTCAAAAAGTATTCTTCCTGCAGCAACATGGATGAATCTCAAAAACCTTACGCTGAATTTAGACACAATGGTGCATACTCTGTGATTTCATTTATATGAAATTCTAGAATAGGCAAAACTATTAGTGATGGAAAGTAGATTAGTGATTGCCAGATAGGGGCAGGCGAGACTGACTGCAAAGGGGCACCAAGAAGCACTTCGGGAGGTGATGGAAATGTTCTGTATCTCGATTAGGTGGAGGTTATATGAGGGTATATATGTTTGTCAAAGCTCACCAAACGTTACACTTAAAATGGGTGTATTTTAAAATATGTAAACTGTTCCTCAATAAAGCTGATTTTTCAAAAGTGCTCTCAAACTACTTAGAAGGCAGTGAAGGTGATGTGCTTTCAGAAATTATATTAGATGACTCAAAAAGGGGCTCTAATAATGACAAACACAAATCAAAGATTCATGTAAATAATTTGAACATAATTTTTGAACGGTGAATGGGAAAAAATATTCATAACTTAATATATTGTTTCAAATAATGTGATTTAAAATATGTATGTGTAACTAAATAAACTTATATGTGGATATTTGAATCATGCATCTCTAAAAAATGTTTATATTTTAGTTGCGAAAAAAGCCAAAGAACACCAGGAGTGACGTTACTGTGAAAACAAGTGATCGCCTTATATTTGGAGCTGCCATATCTTCAGGCATATACACTATCTCTCACTTTGCTCAGCCACCAAAGGTCTAGGTAAGGCCAGGTGTCCCTTCTCAGGGCTCCAGGGGCCTTATGTCACTGAATTGTCCCTTGTTGGCCTATCCACTGCTGGAGTGGGAATTTGGTCTGATTCATCTCTGCTGTCTTACTGCTACAGAGAAGGCATCAGGAGTGTTTGTTGGAAGAAAGGGAGAGGAAGCAGAAAAACAGCAGGTCTGCCCTGACCTGGGCCAGTGGCTAGCAAGGGCTCTCTCCTGAAGCAATTAACATCCCTGCCACCTCCCTAAAGAAGGTATATCTGGAGCCCAACTCTCCTGCCTCTCTGGGTCCCAATATAGGGGCCCATCAGCAAAGGGGAAGCAGGGTCTGCAGAAAGTAGAGTCCCTGGGAGTGTCTGGGCCAGGCCTGGTTTTGCCTTGAGTAATAGAAAATGAGGCTTTTGAGGGGCTGAGAGCACATGCCAGGTGAGGAGGAAAAGAGGAGGACATGACCTAAGAAGTGTGAGGCCCAGCGACTAAGGTGGATATTTGGGCGAAAGGTCAAGAGCCTATACCACAGGTTGTGGGGTGGAGCTCAAGGTGCATTAAGATACTTATTAAGTACTGGCTGTATGCTGAGTTGCATGCTGGCTGGCTCATAAACCTCTAACATAAGAAACTACTGAGTGAAAAAAAGAATAAAAGGAATAAAGTTTTATATGCGGATCAAATCAGATACTGCCAGTCTAAAAATCTGCCTTCAATTGTGGAAGGGGTTTACTGAGCTATACTTTTATATTATACTTTCTATATTCACTCAAGGTGATTACTAGGAGCAAATGAAAACTGTCAGTATTTGCTGTTAATTTGTTGAGAACATTCTCCATTATTTCAGTCAAATAAGTGTCCATATGAGAAACTGCTTGTATAATTTATCCCCGGGAAAATTCTTCTCCCCCAAGTTATCAGTTATCGGAATAGAGTTTTTACTTTGGCTACCAGGAAGCTCAGCTACATGTAATTTTCAATCACAGCAGCTATGTTAACCCATAGAATCACATTATAAGACTCTCTATCACTGCATATCCCACTTCTATACTACAATATTTTTGTCCTTTAAGTATCCTAAACTTTTTTCAAAGGATTGGAAAAGAATACATTTGTGATGAGCATAGTAATGTGCCACCCAGATTCTCCTTCAAGGAACCACTTGTTGCCCCAACTGCTGGGAGAGCTGTCAGCCCCGTAAGGTCACCTTAGCTGTGGAAAGCCATCTGGCTGAGGCTGTGCTCTTCGCAGGGCAGTCTGCATCCAATGGCTGATTGAGGTAGGGCTCCCTGTGGTTCGGCTTGCATCACAGTTTAACTTCTCGTGCCTCCTCCTGTTTCCTTCCTCTCCCTTACACAGTGTTGATCCCAAGGGTACTCCTTAATAAACATTCTGCACACTAAACTCTGTCAGAGTCAGCTTCCCTAAGACCCCGACCTGTGATAACATTTAACCAACTAAAAGCAGAAAACACATCAGGTAGAGGTATTATGGAAAGGGATGAAGATGCACAATAAAGTATTCATACCTACATGGGAGGCAACGTAGCATTGACTCTGGAGCCAGACTGCCTGGGTTTGAACCCCGTCTCTGCCTCCTCTTAGCTGTGTGTCCATGATCGTGTCTCTTAATCTCTCCATGCCCCCTTTTTTCACCTGTAAAATGGAGATGAGAATATTTATAGTGCTATAATGAGCAGTAAGTGAGCCAATGTGGGTAAAGCAGTTATATAGGGCTTACTATATGCCAAGTGCTATTCTGTTTGGTGAATAAAATAAACACCTGTAAAGTCAGGCCCACAGGGCCAGAGGGGCAACTGGGCTGGGATTCCTCCTCAGACTCCAGGCACAGATATTGGTGTAAGGCAGGGCATGTGGAAGCATGAATGTTAACAGAAATAGGCCCAGGCAGGACTAGCCTGGGTGATGTCACAGCATGTATCTTGTGTGGGTGCTGGGCTGCTCCCTCCAAGCCAGCACAGCTGCACGCATTGCCAGTGACACCCACGTACCCATATATATGCTGAGCTGGGGGAAGCCCATACCAGCCACACCCTCCGTGTGCCCTGCTTTTCCTGAATATCCTTTGGTGGAGGGAGGAACCTGAGGCCTGGAATGATGGCTCAGAAGTCCCAGGAGGAAATGGGGCCCTGTTTCCTGATGAAGGGCCTGGCAGCAGACTGAAAATATGAGCTCCTGTTGGCAGGGATTTCTGGAGCCCCTGGGGGCCTGGCCCAAGAGGCAAAAACACAAGGAAAAGCAAGAAAGCATGAGCTGCATGCTCTCAGAAAATAGAAAAACATTTTAAAAGTGCATCATAGCCCGCAGACTGCCCAAGTTGGCACAAGAAGCTCAAGGAGGGCTGTGACACTCAGAAGGGGCCCTCCTAAAAAAAATGGACAGGGTCAAATAGGCAGGGAGGGGCCTATTCAGCCCCCACTTGTCTTTCTGGCCTCATCACCCCCATTTGCTCCTCTACACTTAGTAAACTTTAGCCTTCTTTCTATTCCTAAACTCACTAAGCTCTTTATGGCCTCATGGCCTTTGTACATGCTGTTACCTCTGCCTGGAAAGTACTTTCCTCCAACCCACCCCTAATAATTCACCTGACTATCTACTCACATCTTTTAGGCCTCTGTTGAATCCTAGAGAGGTCTTCCTTGTCTACTAGATCTGAAGTAGGGCTCTCCAATGTTTTATCTCATAGGCTTCTGTCCTTCTTTTCCTCTGTAGTCCTCAACACAATGGTCCTTACATAAGAGAGTGTTTATCTCTTTAATGTCTGTGAATTCCTGGAGGGCTGTGAATTCCTGGAGGGTTTCTCTTATTCTCTCAAATCATGGCATCAATGCCTAGCACAGGGAAGCTCAGGGTCTGCAGACGAGGGCAGCATCATTTTAAGCATAAGCCATACTTTATGAGTGCTCATGTTTTCTGGGTTCCCTGTGTCCAGAGCCAGCCATGCCCAAGGCCTCTCCTCACCCATGCTGATTAGCTTCCATGCCCACTGACTATTGACCTACTTAAGCCAGTGGCTTTCTTGTGAGGTAGAAAATGCAGTCAGACAGACTTGGGTTCAAATCCCCACTTGTTAGTTATGTGGCCTTGAGGCAAGTTACAGAACTTCTCTGAATCTGTTTCTTCATCAGTAATCCCTGAGTAGAGGGTAATTATGAGGATCTGGTGTGACCACATGTGTAAGCATTGTATCTCTGGGCCCCGCATTAGGTCAACTTTAGTTCCCGCCCTCCCACTTTAAAGGCCTGTCACTAGGTGGCAGTCCATCTCAGCCACTCCACCTCCCCTCAGGTGGCCGAAGCCACATAGCACAGTTGACTTAACTTCAGGCTGAATTCTCAGCTTCTTAAGGGGTTGCACTTGAGAGAATCAACACACACACACACACACACACCCCTCCTCCCCCCCTCCCCCACTACCACTACAGCAAGACAAAGTCGGAGGCAGCCTCAGATCTAGGCACCACCCAGCTGGGTGAGTTCTCTGAGCACAAATTCCAAGAAGCCTGGATCTTTCTCTGGCATCGGCTGGGTTCTCCGCTGGGCCTCTCACCTCTGAATGCAGTAAGTTGTTCTGCTCCCGCTTGGCTCAATATCTGACCGGCTCCACTGTGACCGCAGGTGTCTTCAGTTATGGCCGTTCTGCGTGATGGGGCAGCTTGCAGGGGCGAGTCTAGAGAATGGCTTCAGGGAGACAAACTGCGAATTATTCAAATAAAGGCATATCTCGGAGATATTGCAGGTTTGGTTGCAGGCTGAATAAAACGAGTATCACGATAAAGTGAGTTGTCTTTTTGCTGGTGGAGGGTCTTGCCTTCCTCTTCTAAACGACACCTGTGAAGCACAATAAAAGCAAGTGCACTTAAATGAGTTCTGCCTGTAACCACAAAACTTGTGTCTGGAGAATGGAGAGTAAAGCGGGGTGGTGAGAAAGGGGCCAGATCATACTGGACCTGCTGGGCCAGGTAGGGAGTGTGTTTATTTGCAATGAGAAATCATAAATGGTTTGAGGCTGAAGGTAGGGGACCATGATGTAATTTCATTTTAAAGATAAAAGCATGGAGAATAGATGCAGGCAAGACCAAGGAGAGTAAATAATCTGGGTGAGAAAAGATGAGCCTTGGATTTGTGGGTGGAGTAGAGGTATCTGAGGACAGGGCGAACAGAACTTGATGGATTGCTATGGGTTGAGGCAGAGAAAGCAATCAGGATATCTTTAAGAGTTTTTGGCCCAAGCACCTTAGCGTTTATTGTCATGGTCTGAGAAAGAGAAGACTGTGGGAGGAGCAGTTTGAGAAGGGAGTGAGATGCCTGTGTTAAGCCGGGACGTGGAGCAGAGAGTGGGATGCAGGGGAGGTAGATTTGACTCTTCAGGGGCTTGGGTGTGGGGTGAAGCCATAGAAAAGGTTAGTTCGCCTAGGGAACTGGCTCAGGACCCAGCCCAGAGGAAGAGAAGCTTTTGAGGCCGAAAGGCAGCATGCAGAGAAGGAGGAAAACAAGGGGAGTCAGGCCGGGAAAACCAAAGCTCAGGAGAGTCTTTACAGGAGGGGCGCCGTAAGGTAGAACCTGAGTCCATGACCCGCCTCGTGGACACGGAACGTGAGGTGGGGCCGGCAGAGGCTTATGCGAGGGACAGAGACGAAGGCCACGGGGGCCCGCGGATCTGAATGGCCTGAAGATGATCAGGCCTGGGAGACTTCTCCAAATGACGAGACCTTCGACGGCCACACTGGCCGCAGAGGTCGAACAGACAAACAGCTGCGGCCTGCGGGCCAGCCTTGCGTGGCCTGCGGGCCAGAGAGGAGGGGCGGGTCAGGCCTGCTGTCCATCAGAGCCTGCCGGCCAATCCACAGGCAGCTCCGCCCCCGCCCCTCCCCAGAGCCCCAGAG